AGGGGAACAGACAAGTTGCTGTCCTTTTGTTCTTCAGTGTATTTGTGGAGAACGTCGCTGCACTGGCCCATGTCAGTATTATCATTGCGCTCTTCCCGAATGAGGCAGATCGGTCGCCGGCTTCTGGACTGCCGCTCATGGCGGCTCTTGGCAGCTCACGCCGGCTGCCGGCGCTCATGCTGGCTGCCAGTCACTCATGGTAGCTTATGGCAGCCCACTGCAGCCCCGCTGCTGCTTATGCCGTTGCGGGTGACTCAGGGCAGCCCAGCTCCAGGTTTCGCTGTTGTTCACCATCTTAGCTGTAGAGGGCAGAGTCACTGGCCCTCATATGTGGGATCCGAACCGGGGCCCTCTGGCATCCCAAGCCAGTTCTTAACCATCGCGCCACTCGGCTGGCCCCTCAGTTTTCTTTTGTATTTCTTTTTCATTACTTACGTTATTTTTTCTTATATTCATTCATTTATTCAACATATTAAAAAACCTAGTAAGCATTGTTCTAGGCATCAAAGAGAAATTGCACTGAAAAAATTAAACAGGACAGGAAGACTTAATTCAAGACTATTTCAACTGGAGAGAGAGATTGAACTCTACTGCATGCAAGCAGAAGTTGGGAGAGGTTTTTAAGTACTGTAATGAGAGGATTTTAGGATAACGATTGGCCAGTTTGATTAGGCCATTTATGCTCACTAATTGGCTCTTAACTGAATTTAAGCTCCTATCTTGCTACAGGGGCTGGGGAAGGCAAAACTGTTTACATTTCAAAGGGATGACTCAACCCCTTGAGAAATACATTTCTGGGTTGTAAAACTGGCAAGAGTCTGGGAGATTTACATGTCAAGGAAGCAGAGAACGAACTCACAATTGCAAGTTCTCTAGGCAGATGCTCTAAGAAAAGGGAGGTCAGGGACTATAGTCAGAAAGAAATTGTCTCAAGTTTAGTCAATCTGAGGGGAACATTAAAGTCATCTTGGTCACAGGCAATGAGGATAAATTAGTGAATAAAACTATGTTTTAGAAAAAGAAATAGTAGACAAAAGTGTAAAGAGCAGTGACTAATTGAACAATTGCTGTATTTCGGGTCCTATTTAAAGTATTTGCAGTTAATAAGTTTTTACATATACAGAAGTGGGCTATTGTACAACAGAACACAACAGGAAGAGCAGAGGATTGAGCAATGAGGTAGAGGCATAAGCAGTCCAGACAAGGCAGGGCACAATAGGGATGACTATTTGGTAGCTTTCAGTATTGAAGAATAACACATGATGATTTCTATTTCTGGCAGAATGACAGTCTAGTTACTGGAAAAGGGTCCTTCCTCTAACACCAAATTAAATACTTATAAGACTTACTTTTACATATATTATTGTACATTCATAAAAGCGAAAATCTTACTCAGATTTCCCTAAGTTAGTGAAAACAGGTAGTAATGTAGGTCTTTCATAAAATCAAAGTGGCATAAAGTGACCTTTCAAAAAGTGGTGGATACCTGTACTGCTGCAGGGACCAGGTAAACCTAGGTGGCTAAATTGATTCAGGTTGGCAGCACCCCCTGGCTGCCTCCAGAAACAAATAGTCATTCTCTCTGGAAGTATTTTAAAATTAGACCCTCAGAATTCTCAAGAATTAACATGAAATAACCAAATAAAAAATATAAAATACTGGGTATAAAAATATAATAATGAGCAAGAAATAACAGATTATCAATAAAGACCAGGTAGATTAAAAAAAAATTAAGTTTTTTCTTAAATGAAGAGTAAAATTTTAAAGATTTAAAAGTCAGTGGATGGGTTAGTAGCAGATTGGGCACAGTTAAAATAAGATTTAGTGTATGGAATATGCATGTGAAGAAATTACCTAGAAGGCAAACCCATATAGGCAAGGAAATCAAAGAGAGCTTAATGGATAAACAATTAGAAGATCTGGAATTCCAAAAGGAGAGACTACAGAGAATGGAGAAAAGAAAATATTTGAATGTTAGTA